AGGGAGGGAGGGAGAGGGAAGGATGGGGAGGAGGAGGGGAAGAGGAAGGAAGCGGAGGAGATCCTCAGATCTTAAGACTCCTAAGCAGCTAAGATCGATTGCAGGTGTGAGTCGCCATCACCCAGACATGGTTCTGGTCATTGATGGCCCACATAGATGACAGTGGTCATTTATGGGAGGGGAGGGAGGGAGGACATGGAAAGTTCTCGAAGCGCAGCATCCATAGCCCAGGCAGAGCAGCACCCATCTTTGCCATCTGTGCCCCGCCCGCAGGCCTGTCTCCCACAGCAACCACACAGGCGTGGACTCCCTGTGTGGCTTCTCCCCATTGGCCCGGAAGGTGTACAGAGTGGCCATCTATGAGGAATTCCTGCGGATGACACAGAACGGAACCCAGCTCCAGAACTTCACCCTGGACAGGAACAGCATCCTGGTGGATGGTAAGGGTCCCGAGCCTTCAATCTGTAGCAGAGGCTCTGGCTTCTTCTCTTGGGGTTGCTTGCTGGCTTCTCTGGGAACCTTGAAGGTGGGGCTGGGGTAGCCTTGAACTTGTGCACAGAAAGGGTGCTTCCAGCACTCAGCCACCATGGAAGAAGAAAGGCTGTGCCATGGAGCAGGGGAGATTGGCTTCTCTTCCCCAGCAAGCTCTGGGACTTCAAAATTATCATAACAAGAACAAAACCTCAGCCAGGCACTGGTGGCTCATGCCTGTAATCCTAGCTACTAAGGAGGCTGAGATCTGAGGATCTCAGTTCAAAGCCAGCCCAGGTAAGAAAGTCCATGAGATGCTTATCTCCAGTGAACCACCAGAAAACAAGAAGTAGAACTATGGCTCAAGCGGTAGAGCACTCACCTTAAGGAGCTGAAGAACTCAGGGACAGTGCCCAGGCCCAGAGTTCAAGCCCCATGACTGACAAAAACAAAAACAAAACCTCCTCACAAAAACAAAAACAAAACCTCCTCACATTGACCCCTACCACTACCACCAATCACCATCATTTTCATTTCTTTCCAGGATATTCTGCCATCAGAAATGATTTGGTGACTAAACAAGCAGGTAAGCTTCCAGAAATCCCTGCCGAGGGTAGGAAAAGTACAAGGTGATCAACTCTGACCTATCAAGCAGCACCATGCACACAGGGCCTTGGAGCCTGATGAAACTTGGCCCACCCCTGCCCAGGGTTATGGGTATGAGTATACATCTTGCTGCTATAACAGCATAATGTGGAGATTTCTGAGGCACGCTACAAAGACAGCAAGGAGTCTTATACCCATAAGAGATACCTATGGGTAAAGGGGTGGGTGAGGGGGTAGACAGAGAAATCACATACATTTGTCTACCTAGGCCTTCCATTCTGGGCCATCATTCTCATCTGTTTGGCGGGACTCCTGGGTCTCATTTCCTGCCTGATCTGCTGTTTCCTGGTAAGAGAAGATGACTTGTCTCCTTCTACTTAGGTTGTGAGAATATTTAGTACAATCCAGCATCATCTAGTGGTGTGTGTGTGTGTGTGGTTTAATTGGAGATAAGAGTTTCCTGGATCTTTCTGCCCAGGCTGGCTTTGAACTGTGATCCTCAGATCTCAGCCTTCTGAGTCTCTAGGAATATAGACATGAGCTTCAACACTTAGTCTGAATATGTGGTTTTGTCTGCTCTGTGTGTGTATGTGTGTGTGTGTGTGCATGTGTGTGCATTCATGTGCATGTACACACACGTATGCCAGTCCTGGGGCTTGAACTGTCCATGACCTTGTATACTGAAGGCTAGTGCACTACCACTTAAAGCATTCCTCCACTTCTGGCTTCTTTTGGTGTTTAAGATAAAAAGTCTTTATGGAATGCCGGGCGCTGGTGGCTCACGCCTGTAATCCTAGCTACTCAGGAGGCTGAGATCTGAGGATCGCGGTGCAAAGCCAGCCCGGGCAGGAGAGACCGTGAGACTCCTATCTCCAATAAACCACCAGAAAACCGGAAGTGGCTCTGTAGCTCAAGTGGTAGAGCGCTCGCCTTGAGCTGAAGAGCTGAGGGACAGCGCCCAGGCCCAGAGTTCAAGCCCCACGACCGAAAAAAAAAAAAAAAAGTCTTTATGGACTTTTCTGCATAGGCTGTCTTTGAACCTCCAGCCTCAGCTCTCAGCAGCTAGGATCACAGGCCACCAGCCCCCGGCTCTGTGTTTGGTTGTGGATGGGCCACATCCAGGATAGTGTTCCCATAAGATTTTCTTGCCCAGAGACATCACAACCATCTTTTAGTCAGTGTAAGCCCATTCCTGTAACTCCCCCAATGTCAGCCTTCTCTAAAGATGCATTCATTGGATGCACTGACTATGTGTCATAAATACAAATTCTTAGTCTGATGCCCATGGCTCACACCTGTAAATCCTAGCTACTCAGGAGGCTGAGATGTGAGGATTATGGTTCAAACCAAGATCTGACCAAATAAATAAATCAAGAGTGAAAAGGGAGAGCTGAGGAGAAACATCCAAGTAGAAAGAGGAAGACAAGAAGGCCATTCGGTTATCTCACCCCCGTGGTATCACTTACCTAAGTATCTATATTGTTCGTTCATTTTTTCATTTTCTCAGTCATGAAGCTTGGACTCAGGGTCTGTGCACTGTCCCTGAGTTATTTTGCTCAAGGTAAGCACTCTACCACTTTGAGCCACAGCATGGCTTCTGGTTTTCTGGTGGGTCCTTGGAGATAAGAATCTCACAAGGACTTTTCTGCTCAAGCTGGCTTTGAACTGCAATCCTCAGATCTCAGCCTCCTGCGTAGCTGGGATGAGCCACCAGCACCTGGCTCTGTCAGTTCATCTTCCCCCTCTTCTCACTCATGCAGGTGACCATCTGCCGGCGGAAGAGGGAAGGAGATTACCAAGTCCAGCGTCACCGCCTGGGCTATTACCTGCCACACCTGGATCTCAGAAAGCTTCAGTGAAATCCCTGGGTCGGGGGCCATGGGTGAAATAAACTATACTGCCCCCCCACCTCCTCTCTTTCTTGAGTTGGCCTCTGACTGATTCTGTGGGAACTCAGTAAGAGGTGTTTTGTGGAGTGAAGCGCCAGCCAATGGACAAAATTATCAGATGCTAAGCTCAAGTAGCAGTTTTAAACCAAAAAATAACAGAGGTGTTTTTCTCTTGTTAAGGCTTAGAAGCAAATTTCACATTTTTGATTTTTCACATCATGGTAACCTTCATGGATACCAGAACTGGATAATATCAGTAGTAGTAGTAGTAATAAAATAGTAAAAAAAAAAAAAAACACTAAGGTAGACATGGTAATTGTATGAAAATAAACATCCTGTTTCCATGTGAGATTTTCACTTCCACTGCCCAGTACATGTCTGCCCATAGCACCAATGCCAGCTGCTACACTCCTCTCTCTCTCTCTCTCTCTCTCCTCTCCTTTTCTCTCCACCCTTCTGAGTTTGGAATCACAGCCTCCACACACAATTCCTTTTTTTGGTTGTTGTGGGGCTTGAACTCAGGGCCTGGGCGCTGTCCCTCAGCAATTCAGCTCAATGCTAGCACTCTACCACTTGAGGCACAACACCACTCCTGGTTTTCTGATGGTTCATTGGAGATAAGAGTCTCACAGACTTTCTGGCCTGGGCTGGCTTTGAACCATGATCCTTAGATCTCAGCCTCCTGAGTAGCTAGGATTACTGGCGTGAACCACCGGTGCCTGGCTTCATTTCCTATTTTTTGAATCAGTTACTACATAAAATGGACAAAAAGCCAGGCACTTGTGGCTGAAGCCTTAATCCCAATCACTCAGGAGGCTGAGATCTGAGGATCATGGTTCAAAAACAGGGCAGGAAAGTCCGTGAGACTCCTATCTCCAATAAACTACCACAAAACCAGAAGTGACGCTGTGGCTCAAAGTGGTAGAGCACTAGGGTTGAGCAAAGAGCCCAGGGACAGCATTTGGGCCCTGAGTTAGAGCCCCTCCCCTCCACACACACAAGGACATAGAGACCATGGGTTTATTCCCATTCAATAGCTAATGAGATGGATGACTCTGAAAGGTAAGATAATCAGCCAAGCACCAGTGGCTCACGTCTGTAATACTTTCTACTCGAGGCTGAGATCTGAGAATTGTGGTTCAAAGCCAACCCAGGCAGGAAAGTCCCTGAGACTTTTTTTTCTGGGACATATTTTTTTTTTGTTGGTCATGGGGCTTGAACTCTGAGCTTGGGTGCTGTCCCTCAGCTCTTCAGCTCAAGGCGAGCACTCTACCACTTGAGCCACAGTGCCACTTCCGATTTTCTAGTGGTTTATTGGAGATAAACCTCCCCAGGCTGGCTTCGAACCGCAATCCTCAGATCTCAGCCTCCTGAGTAGCTAGAATCACAGGCATGAGCCACCGGCACCCGGCTTTCTGGGACATATTTATGCTTATTGCTAATGTAGGACACCCTCCACCTAAAACATCAAGTTTTTTTGTTTTTTTGGTCGGTTGTGGGGCTTGAACTTTGGGCTTGGGCGCTGTCCCTGCACTCTTTAGCTCAAGGCGAGAGCTCTGCGCTTGAGCCATAGCACCACTTCCAGTTTTCTAGTGGTTTTTATTGGAGATAAGAGTCTCACGGACTTTCCTACCCTGGTTGGCTTTGAACCGAGATCCTCAGATCTCAGCCTCCTAAGTAGCTAGGATTACAGGCGTGAGCCACCGGTGCCCCGGCCTTGTGAGACTCTTATCTCCAATTAACCACCAGAAAACCAGAAGTGGTGCTGTAGCTCAAGTAGTAGTATGCTAGCCTTGAACTGAAGAGCTGAGGGACAGCGCCCAGGCCCAGAGTTCAAGCCCCACAACTGACCAAAAAAAAAATTATAAATTTTAAAAGGTAAGATAATCACTAAAACCTAAGTTACATACCTAGTCAAACTATCTGTTAAATGTGGGGATCACTGGATGCTGGTGGCTCACTCCTGTAATCTTAGCTACTCAGGAGGCTGAGATCTGATGATCTCGGTTCAAAGCTAGCCAGGGTAGGAAAGTCCGTGAGACTCTTATCTCCAATAAAAAAAAACCACTAGAAAACCGGAATTGGTGCTGTGGCTCAAGTGGTAGAGCTCTCGCCTTGAGCTGAAGAGCACAGGGACAGCGCCCAGGCCCAGAGTTCAAGCCCCATAATCGACCAAAAAAAAAAAAGGAAAAAAAAAGAAATCAACTGTCTACTTTCCATGTTACGCAAGGGAAGGGAAGGAGAGGGAAGAGGAGGGGAAAGGGATGGGAGGGGAGGGGAGGAGTAGGAAAGAAAAGGAAAGGAATTGCTGTCTACTTTTGTGTTACATAAAGGGATTTAATAAAAATATTTATGGTAAAGTTTCAAGAAACTCAAATCCAGAGCAATCCCAGACTCTGCAAGGAGACATTGCCCCAGAGCCCAACTCCGTTTCCTCTGTGATATTTTGGTGTAGGTAGTGATGATCATTTTTCCTTTCTCAGTCTCTTCTGCATCTCTGCCTCGCTGGCGAGCCTATCCACTAGCAGGGCTAGGGCCAGCCTCTCTCTGGCCGCCTTCACCTTCCTTTCCTGGATCTTTATATCTTCCTCGGTGACCAGAAATTCTCTGCAGAGGAACGGTGGCACACGCAGCTCCGCTTTGGCCGGAATCATCTCCACAAAGGGCAACGATGAGGCCTGACCAGCGTGAGCACCTGCCATCCCGGCTTGGTCGAGCAAAGCACCTGTGCCTGCTACGATGTGTTTCTGCAGAGCTTTGACCAGATCCAAAGTACTTAAAAGATCACCCACACTGCCGTAGGCCTGGACTCCTTGAAGCCTGTTCTGCCAACACACCTGTTGGGGTTTCTCTAAGTTCTCCTCCCAGTGGTCGAACCTAACCTCATTATCCGGATATGATGTAATTTTAGTGACTGGCCTCTTAAAGGAGTGACTGGACATCCGCAGGGGGATGGAGAGGCCTAAGGAGGGCTTTGGGTCAGGTGGGTGGGTGCAGTCATTTGGTTTCCTCTGAGAAATCTTCGCCATCAGATTCCTCCTCTACCCCTATAAACAGACAAGTTGGGAAGTTGGATGGGAAATCATCAGTGATGGCTGGGTGATGGAGCTCATGCCTGTGATCCTAGCTACTCCAGGGACTGAGATATTAGGATCCCAGTTCAAAGCTAGCCCAGGAAAGAAAATCCCTGGGCCTCATCTCCAAAGAACCAGCAACAAACAAACCTCGGAAGTGGAGGTGTAGCTCAGGGATATCTTGAACTCAGGACCGCCCCCTCTCTTTGCTGGTGCTCTACCACTTGAGCCACAGCTCTACTTCCAGCTTTTTGCTGGTTGATTGGCAATAAAGAATCTCACAGACTTTCTTGCCCACGCTGGCTTTGAACCGCAATCCTCAGATCTCAGCCTCCAGAGTAGCTAGGATTACAGGTGTGAACCATCAGTGCCTGGCTTCATTAATCTCTTGTCATATGTGTGTTTTACGTACTTAGATCATAGTCACCCCCTTTTATCCTCTTCCTTGGCCCTTCCCTCTCCTCACTGGCTCTCACTTCCAAACAGCCCTTGCTTCACAGCTCTAGATCCGTATATTGAGAAAACATCTGTCCTCAGTCCAGATCATTTTGCTTTAACATAATGATCTCCAGTTTTCTCTGTTCTTCTACAAGTGACATCATTTTTCATGGCTGAATAATACTCCATTGTATTTATGTACCATATTTTCCTTATTCCCTTCTAGTTCATCTATCACTACTGGGCATATACTCATTCTTTGTATGTGTTGGCATATTGAGTTTCCCCAGATCCTGGATCGGATTTGCTCTGCTTTCTTTTACTGTTGTGTTTTCTTCATGTACAGTCCAATCCTCTTTAAATGCCCACGCTAGTTCAATGGGAAATTGTAAACTGGGGGTGGGGGAGGGTTCTAGTGGTTGAATCAGTGATAATCTCCCATTGATTCTCATTTTTCCCTCCAGTTAACTGAGATTTCCTTGAGTCTCCAATTGGGATGAGTCTCTCATTCCTTCTTACAGCCTCAGGGCCTCCATATTCCAACAGAGTGCTACTTTTTCCTCTACTCCTGTTCCCACCCAATGACCTTCCTAATTTAAATATGCCTACATTTCTCCCTACAACCTGGAGATCACATTGGCTCCACCTTCCTGTGATCTCTCTCCAGCCACTTCCTTCTTCCCGGTCCGCTCAGCCCAAAACCCCAGAGGTCAGGCCCCTCTACCTCATCTTTCTCTCATCTCTTACCTCCTGCCAGGTCTGCAGATCATGACAACCTTCCATCTCCAACCTTCCATCTGCACATCACCATTCCACAGCCGCTTCCCCACCCCAATAAGGTCACAATGACCCTTTATTGTTGTTAGATCCAAAAGGAACTATTCATCTGTCAGCTGACACTATCTTCAAGGAGAAAGCTTTCATATGTATTTGGAGTGACCTGAATTCTGCTTTACATTTGTGGATCTTTTTTTTTTGTTTTTAATATGTGTGCTAGTCCTTGGGCTTGAACTCAGGACTTACGCACTGTTCCTGAGCTTCCTTATTTTTGCTCAAGGCTGGTGCTCTACCACTTGAACCATAGCTCTACTTCTGGCTTTTTGGTGATTCACTGTAGATAAGAGTCTCAGGGAGTTTCCTGGCTGGGTTTACACCATGATTCTCAGATCTCAACTTCCTGAGTAGCTGGGATTATAGGTGTGAACCACCAGAACCCAGCTACATTTGTGAATTCTGTAAACTCTAAATATGGAACAAGTATATTTGAGAGAGGGATGGAAAGAAATAAAAAAGGAGGAAGAATGAGGAAAGAGAGGACAGAGAGAGATAGGAAGGAGGAGGAAATAGGAAAAGGGAGGGAGAAGAAAGAGAGGAAGAGGTAGAAATAAAGACATAAGACACAAAAGGATAAAAAAGAAGCTAGAGGCTGGAGACTGATGCCTGTCATCATAACTATTCAGGAGGCTGAGATCAAGAATATCATAGTTTGAGGTCAGCCTGGGCAGAAAGTCTGTGAGACTCCAGCTCCAAATCAACTAGCAAAAACCTGAGCTGGGGGCATAGCTCAACACTAACTAGGAACAGATAAGCTGAATGAGTTCTAGCCTTTGAGTTCAAACTCTAATACCAGAGGGAGAAGGAGAGGGAAGGGGGACACAAAACAGGAAAGCCATATGTCCAAACTGGTGATCCTCAGCTTTAATCCTCACCACTCATCCCTAGCCTTGAGAGGCATCCCAAAGAAGGCTGAAGTCAGCACAGAGCTCCATGATCTGAGGTCTAGACTTGCATCCAACTCTTCAAGGAGACCTGCCTCCTCTGCCAAGTTCATGGCTCCAGATAGGGGCCATCCCAGACTTCCTATCATGGCCACAGAGAGCGCAGGAACCACACCCTGTGTACCTAAAGTGACAGAGTTCTCCGTGTACGTTCCTGAGTAGCTGGGATTACACGCGTGAGACTCCAGTGCCCAGCTGCTGCAGGATGTATGATTGGTTCTATTTACACACAGTTAAGCTGGTGCAGATAGTGAGGACCCCAGCTCCCTACTCCAGTGCTCCCCACTGCCTACATCAACCTGAACTCCTTCAAATACGGATACCATGCTGGAACTGTAGAGGTTGGAGCTGGTGATTAAGTCCAGCAAGGGCCTGGCAAGCCAGGGCACAGAGAAGCCTCACTGTCTGAATAACTAGAATTGGCAGATAATTTGGTTTCTCAGGAAAGGCAGGAGGCATCAACCGAAAAATGACTCAAGACAATAACCCTCATTTCCCCTCCTTCCCACGGGTCAATAAAATAACACTCCATGCACTTTATTTGTCATATCCACTGCTCACTCCCTTTGGCCATCCCCCCCCCCAAACACAGTTAAAATGCAGGTTTTCTGAGGGCAGAGAATTTTATGTTTGGTTCCATAATCCCGGGATCTGAAACTGTACCTGAGGAGAAGCACAATGGGCATTAATTCTAGCATATACACAGGCACAAATACACACACACATACAAGTACACTCCGTGTCTGGAAAGCAGAGGAGAAATCACTGTTACCTCTGGGTAAAGGACTGAAGAGAGATCCCTACACAGCCATCCCTGGAGTTAGACCCCCCCCGCCCCGCCCTTATGAAGCCACGCCCACATGAACCGCGCCCAGTCCCGATAGGCCCAATTCTGGTCTCCATCCATTACTGGCTCCGCCCCCGAAACATTGGTCCCGCCCCGGAAGTGGTCTTCGCCCCCCAACCCTGGCCGGGCTCTCGCGTGCTGAAGTAACCCAGGGCTTAATCTCACTCTTTCTGAGTAAACCCAACAACTGGACCTGAGGAGGAGCACGGCCGCCGCCCGTCATCACCTTCCCCGCCTACCCTCGAGTCCCCCAACGTCTCCCCGCGACTGACAGCCAGAGCCGGAAGTTGACAGCGGGGAGAGCCGCCCACGGCTGGCAGCGGAAGTGCGGGGCGGTCGGCGGACAGCCCTGTGGTGCCCAGAGCGGGTGGGCGCGCCGCGAGCCCCGGGTGGACCCGGACGCGGTGAGCGAGAAAGGGGGAGGAGGGGCGTGTTACCCCAGGCCGCCGGCTCCGCGTCCCCGGGTCTCTCCCGGGAGCCCCGGTTCCTCCCGCCGAGGCCTCAGGCGCTACTCGCTCTGGTCCTCCCGGGTGTCCTCCGCTTGGGACTCACCCGGGGAGTCTGCACCCCGGAGACTGAGAGCACTCCAGGGGGCGAGTCTGCACCCCGGAGGGTGTGTCTGCACCCCGAGGGGAGTCAGCCACCCCCAGGGACCCTGGCCAAGCCTGGGGACATTTCTTGTTATTTAGCCAGTGCAAACCCACCCCGCCCCCCCCAGCAAAGAATTTCTGCAGTGCAAAGTTTGGAAATTCCACTGTCAAGTTTGTTTAAGTGTCAGGTTCTGGGAGAACTATGTAAACTGTTAGTGCAGCGTGTCACTGCTAAGGCCTCGAAGTGACGAGTTTGCAGCATCTGATACCACCCTGAGCACTCATCCCAGCCAAAGGAGTTGAGCAAGTCAGAAACACAGCCTTCAGCTGCTCTCTGCTGCCCTCAGCCCGGGCCTGAAATAAGGATACAGGTTGATCCATTGTAACAATGAGGCCTGATGTACAAGACACAATGTTGAAAACGAACTTTACAACTTGGTGAGGGGATGAAGGAGTTGGAGAGGTGGGGAGGAAAAGAATGGTAGAGGGAAAACAGGAGGTAACAAAGCTCAATAGGAAATGTACTCATTACCTTACTCATGTAACTGTAACCCCTCTGTACAGTATCTTTACTATACACACACGCACACACACAAGGATCAGGAAAGTCCTGTCAGGCAGTGGGCTTCTATTACATCATACTAAACATCACACAGGTAATATAAAAAGAAAAAAGTTTTTCCTATTAAAAACTCATTACTACCAATTAAAATGTCAGAAGTCACCTTTGTACATTTCATTTTTCAGGTCAAGGAGCGCATCATGCAAGCTCAGATTTGTGTTGAAGCCAGGGCTCACTGATCTAAGTTTCATGTGTCCAGGTAAGGACCATACAGAACTTGGATTGTTCCAAGAACCTGAGAACTGGCTTTGCTTGTGCTGGAGCTATAACTATGAGGAGCTACAGGCCTGGAGGTTGTGTGTTTGTGTGAGTGACCGTGCGCTCATCCTGGGACTTGAACTCAGAGCCTGGGCACTTTGCCTGAGCTTTGGTGCTCAAGGCTAGCACTCTACCACTTGAGCCACAGCTCTACTTCTGGATATAGATAAATGGAGATAACAGTCTCATAGATTGTCCTTTCTGTGCTGGCCTCTAACTATGATCCTCAGATCTCAGCCTCCTAAGTAGCTAGAATTGTAGACATCTGTACTGATACCAACAGTTTGGTTTTGGTTTTTTAAACAATCCTACAGATAGACTCCAGGACCTTGTATACACCGGACAAGTGCTCTGCCACAAAGCCACATCTCATTGCCTAATTTCTATTTTCTTTCTACTTTTTATATACTCTGTGAGAGAGAGAGAGATTTGGATTTGAACTCTGCACTCTTGGTGAGCAAATGCTCTACCTCCTGAGCCACACCCCAAGTCCATTCTGTTTTCTAAGCCCACACCCAGTCCATTTCTTGAACTAGGGATCTGGGTTCTGTCTCTGAGCTCTTTTGCTCAAGGCTACCACTTGGACCTCAGCTCTACTTCCAGTTTTTTGCTGGTTAACTAGAGATAAGAGTCTCAAGGACTCCTTAGCTAAGCTGGCTTTGAACTGTGATCCTAGGATCTCAGCCTCCTGAGTAGATAGGAGTACAGGTGCGCATCCAGCATCTAGCCACTTTTCTGTCATTTTTCAAATAGTCTTTTGGTTTTGTTTACACCTGGCCTCAGACCTCAGTCCTCCAACCTGTGGCTCCCATGTAGCTGGACTCACAGGTGTGGGATTACCATGCCCAGCTGTTCTTTGAGATAGAGCCTCACTTTTTGCCTGGACTGACCTCAAATCAGCATCCTTTTTATTTGCATATCCCAAGTAGCTGGGATTACAGACAAGATTCACTGCCATCGGCTTTCCTATTACATTCTTGAGATAATAGTTGCCTACCATGGAATGCATAGTCTTGGGTTACAGAATTTAGGATGATCAACTGCCTCTATTCACTCAGGACAGAAGGCATACAGTGTTCAAACTAGAGTAGGCCTAAACAACCAGGGCATTCCATGGCTTTGTAGCTCCCTCCTCCAACTTTAAAGCTACCACGGTGCCATTCTCAGATCTCTTTTTCTCTCTCTCTCCTTCCATCCCTCACCTTCAGAACACCTGCTTCCCTGACTCTCCTCGCTCTCACAAGGACCCTTAGAATGCCATCTGTGTCATTCCAGGAAAGCATGTGCACCTGATTAAGTCTTCCATCTGCAGAGGAAGGACACACTCACACAGGCCTGGGACTAGAACTCAGGTGTGCACCTTGTTAGTGGCAGGAAGTGGTTGCTTACCTGTCTTCCCAGAAGTCCAGGAGTCTGTGACTGATTCTCCATGTGGCCCAAAATCCACTGTTGGGGTCCAAGCCCATTCCTGCACCACGTTCCCTCCCTCCTTGATTTCTTCTTTGGGACACACAGAGCTCACCAAGACCCCAAGAAGCTGGTCTTACAGGGCTGTATTTTGTCCTGTGACTACACAGGAGGAAGCTCTCCATATACACTGCTGTTCCTCTATGTGTATGTTTCCCCTTAAATTGACCAGAGGTGATTGTCTTCATCAGTAAAAATTTTTGCAGGTTTGTGTTTGTCGCTGGTTACGTTTCTCCTCTGGAGAAAGCCCATGTTTCCTTTTGATGGCCACAGGATTGGCCATTGTTATCTGTTCTAAGTAATGCTCCAGTGAAATAATGCCACTGTGAACATGTAATGCCCCAAAGAAAAGTGAAGTAATGCCACAGTGAACAAGTCCACATATGCTTCACCAAGGCCAGGAATCAGGAAGAGGAGGGCAGGCTTCTGTACCTTTGTTCAGCCTTGCACCTGTCCTTGGGCCCTTGTTCCCAGAGGCTGTGGTCCCCTGGGCTTTGCTGACAGGACATGTGAAAATAGCCACTGTGGTGGAGCACAGGGGACTGCCGGAGCTGCCATGTTGTGGTCCTGGACGTAGCGGTGGCCAGGTGTGAGGAGCTAGTGGAAGATGAGGGGAAGAGCCAGAAATGTTGTCTGGGTGAGGAAGAGGCCAGGCAGTGAGGGAAAGAAACCCCTGCTTGGAGCTGGGGGTGGCGCCCCCCTTCCCCTGTCAGCTGATCCAGAGGCTGAGATAGGGAGGATCACAGGTTGAGGTCAAGCCACAAGGGAGGTGATTTGCTCTGTTGTTGTGTAAGACCCCTACACCTTAGTGAAGCCAACAGTAACCATTGGTTTCTCTGACAGCGTTTGTGGGTGAGGAATTCAGGAGTGGCTGGGAAAGATTCTGATTTGGGAACAGCCTGCAAGGGCTACACATCTGAGGCCTACCATCTCCTGGAAATCACCCCCAAGGTCTCACTCACGGTGGCCATGGGCCTGGGCAGTGCTGCTAAGTATTCTCCCCACAGCTGCCCCAGAGCAGCCGCAGAGCCTTCGAGCCCTTTCCTCAGTTTCACCCCTGAAAGTGACTTAGAGCTACTGAGGTAGAGGCTGCCGCAGGCAGAGTGGACCTAGGCTATGGAGAGCAGGCCTAAGGGCCTGGGTGAAGGTCTCTGCCCTCACCCAGAAAGATGGGCCGCGGTTCCAACTCTGCAGGGACCACTTGTTGGGTGTGGAGTTGGTGCTGTGACTCGGTAAAGCCAAGGTTTTCGAAGCCAGCAGGGCAGTGATAGTCACTGCTAGCATCACGGGCATGGGTGGGCTGTGCCATCCTTCGTGCGTGTGTGTGTGTGTGTGTGTGTGTGTGTGTGTGCGTGAACGGCAGCACAGGCGGCCATGTGGATGTCCTGTCTATTCTAGGGGTGCCCCTGGGGGTCTCAGGACGTCTTCCCTCCACCTCTGCCCTGTGGTCAGTAGCTCTGCCATCGGAGTCACAAGATGACAGCCGCAGTCCTGCTCCCAACTTGTGGTGAGACTCTGGGTGCTTGAAGGCCTGGACCCCCAGAAGGGGCCAGATGAGGGCTAAGTAGGAGGCAGGACAACAGCACAGCAGCCCCCAAGACCGCAGGGCTGGAGGGCAATCTTAGGCCTTGGACTTGTGTGGTGGGTGTCTGCGATGAGCCAGCTCTGGAATATGTCAGACCTTCTGAAAGGGACCCCCCCCATGGGCCCCTGGAAACCTGTTCCCCCTCTGCCCAGTAGCAATGACCTGCTCCCAGGGGTGTCCATGATTTGCACACTATTTTATAGCTGGGTTTCTAAACATCAGGTGGAGGTGTGTGCATGTGTGAGTAGGGGAAATGAGTATGTGGGGTTGAATGTGGGGGTCAAGGGGAAGACAGTAGGGGTAAAGAAATGAGTTGAGTCACAGGTGAGGAGAGCAGTGTCAGAACGCAGGGCAGCTTAGAGTATTCTAACTCATTCCTCTTCGGCAGCTCAGCCTCACCTATACCTGGCCTCTCTCCAGAAAGAAGGCCCAGGGAAGGAGAGGCTGGCCAGCGAGGTCCTCATGGGCTGGACACGGGTGAGTAGACACTTCCTTCTCCCATCTCATGGGGAAAGCAGGGCCTGTTGAGTCCCCAGGCCTGGCAGGTCTCCTTGGAGGTCAGAGGAAGCCCCCATGTCCTCCACTCGAGGAATCATTCATTCATCCCCAATCATCCCTCCTCTGTACCCGAGGGAGGTGGGTTGTGTGGGAAGGGACATTCTGGGGCACTGCACTGCCCATGCAGAGGGGCACTGGGGCCTCCCCAGCAGGCTCTGGGACTGAGCTGGGACATGTGCAATGCCATAGGACCTTGTGACCTTCAAGGATGTGGCTGTGGAGTTCAGCCAGGAGGAGTGGGCCCTGCTGGACACTTGGCAGAGGACGCTGTACAGTGAGGTGACGCTGGAGAATTGCCGCAACCTGGTCTCTCTGGGTGAGAGGAGCCACGCCCCACATCCATGACACAACTCACCTTTCTCATCTATAGAGGGAGAGTTCACACATTTGAGTTGCTCAGCAATATGCCCACAGGGTAGACCCCACTGTAACTACAGGACGTTGCCATTGCCCTGCTGTGGTTTCGCTGTGGTCCTCCGCTGGAACCTTTGCTAGCCCCTCCTCCTAGGAAACAGTATTGAGGTCCTGGAACGTCGAAGAGGTGAAGCCTCAGAGGCAGGTGTGGTGGGCACAAGCCTATAATCCCAGCTCAGTAGAGGCACTGGACCAAGGTGGGAGACTGGCCCCAAGCAGCAAGTCCAAGATCTTATCCAAAATTGGCTCAAGTTGTAGACACACTCTCTCTCTCTCTCTCTCTCCTCTCTCTCTCTCTCTCTCCAGTAGAAGGGGTGGGCATACTGTGAGATGACTGGACAGGGACTGTTTCCTGGCAGTGAGTGGGTCAGGGCTCAGGGACCTATTCAGTTTTCGTGGTGGTGGTGGTGCTGGTGGTCATGGGGCTTGAACTCAAGAGCCTGGATACTGTCCCTGAGCTTTCACTCAAGAATAATGCTCTACCACTTTGATCCACAGCTCCACACACCAGAATCCTGATCCACAGATAACCTTTTTTCATTATAAAGTACCCAGCCTTGAGCATTTTATTATGTGGGCAGTTAAAGACTAAGACTAAGACAGCTTTGGGAGAAACTTTCCCACTTGCTAGCACTTCACTGTCCTCTGACTGTGGGCTTGCTGTTCAGAATGCTTTATCAAATAGAGTCACAAAACACAAGAACTTTGTATCTGATTTCTATCACACAACATGCTATTTTAAAGGGTTAACTGATATAGCACATACTCATCTCATTCCTTTTCGTGGTTGATATTATTCCATCATATGGCCATAACATACCAGGCTTACCCATTCTTTGGGGCAGCTGTGAATCTTGTGCACAAGCTTTTGTTTTCCTGCCTTCCCTTTCCTTCCTATGACATCTGTGTTTCACCAGTTTGAGGCACTGGCAGGCTTTTTGGTAGAGGCCACCCCCACTTTCCTTCCCGTAGCACACAAGAGTTTGTGTCCCCACATCTTCCAATTCCTTCTGATCATGGCTGTCCCAACACAGAAACACACGTAGCATTGTTCTGGTTTGCATTTCCCCATGATGGGTGCCCTAGGATCATCCATATCCTTATTGGCTATTGCAAGGCCTACTGAAGGCAAAGAAGGCAAAGTCTAGTGAACCTGTAGATCAGGAACAGGTTGTCGCTGACTGGGGTGAACCTCTGTGTTTTGTATTGTACTCTCATCTCAGAGTGGAGGAAAGATGGTGGGCACAGGTCATTTACAATATCACCATCAAGTTCTCTGGCCCACATTCTGCTACTTGTTCACCATCCCATTCCTTGCTGCCTACTCTAGGGAAGTTTCCAGACAGACTTCCTGCTTGGAAGGGGGAGGACAGGCTTTGTAGCCCCCACATCACCAACTCTACTGCTGTGGCTATTTCCCAGTCTTGGGCTTGAACTCAGGGCCTAGACACTATCCCCGAGCTCTTTTGCTCAAGGCTAGTATTGTACCACTTTGAGCCATAGTTCCACTTCCAGCTTTTCTGGTGGTTCACTGGACGATAAGAGGTTGGACTTTTCTGCCCAGGGTTGATTTTGAACCATGATCCTCAGATCTCAGCCTCCTGAGTAGCTAGGAGTACAGGCACAAGCCACCAGCACCCAGTTGCTGCAGCTTTTCCCAAGTATTTCTCGAGCCCCTGATGTCCCTCTGTGTATGCCAGAGGTACAGTGGGGGGGGGGAACTGTGGTCCCCACCTACAGCACTGCCTCATGTCCTCCTCTGTGGACTGGATCTCTTTTTTGCCCTGACTTCCCATTCTTCCTGGCCCACAGTTGAGAACTTGTCCTTGGGCTTAGCCAGGACTGTGCCTGTCCCATCACCCTGAGTACTGAGTGAAGTAGTACTGAGTCCTGTCTTCTTGGTCCTCAGGAAGGTTCTTACTCTCATTACTATCCAGCAGAACTACTCCCTGCTCTAAAGCCACACTTACATCCTACAAATGTTGGCCTGCCCTGCATGGAGATGTTGCCCTGAACCACCTCCCTCCATCGCTTTTTTTCTCTCCATCTGCAGGGTGCCATGTTGATGTGCCCAGCCTGGCTGCCCAATTGGAACTCTGTCCCCAGGTGGGGACAGAGGAGAGTGGAGTTGTCCAAGACACCTGTGCAGGTAAGCACCTGCAAGGGACCACACGGGGCGAAGGAGTCAGAACATCCTAACATCCACTGGGGAGCTGTGCTCTTTTCGGATGGAGATGGAAGGAACACAATGGTACGGTGCTTTCAGCTATCATCTGTGGCTTCTGGGGAGAGGGAGAGGAACAGCTCTCTCCTTCTGGAAGGTTAAGTCCCAGCTTGCAACCTAGGAGCCTTCTTGTCACTCTCTTCACAAGCTCAGTTTGTTTTGTTTGTTCTTGTTGGTACCAGTACTGAGGCTTGAACTCAGGGCCTAGGCTCTGTCCCTGAGCTTTTCTTGCTCAAGGCTGGCACTCTACCACTTTGAGCCACAGCTCCACTTCTGATTTTCTGGTGGTTAATTAGAGATGAGTGTCAGGAGCTTTCCTGCCCTGGCTGGCTTCTAATCATAATTCTCAAATCTCAGCCTCCTGAATAGCTACGATTACAAGTATGAGCCACCAAGACTTGTCTTGAGAGACCTTTTTTGGGGGTCAGTCATGGGGCTTGAACTCAGTGCCTGGGCACTGTCCCTGAGTTCTTGTGCTCAAGGCTAGTGCTCTATCACTTTGACCCACAACACCTTCTGGTTTTTGAGTGGTTAATTGGAGATAAGAGTCTCACAGACTTTCCTGCCCAGGATGGCTTTGAACCTTGATCCTCAGATCTGCCTCCTGAGTACCTAGGAGTATACGTGTGGGCTACCAGCACCCTGCAAAGAGTCATTTAAAAAAAAAAGAAGAAGTACCTAAAATCTCCCCTTCATTGCAAATATCCCTGGAAGTAATTTCTCAGAGTGGACCTCACTAATGGGTTCACTCAATCATTTCTTTTTCTCCATCAACCTAAATTCTTTTCATTCTGTTTCAGAGTTGGAGCATGCCCTTCAAGCCAAATGGCTAAGTCCTGAAAAGCATGTTTTTAGAAGACAGCAGTCTAAACATGGGAAAACAGTAAGACTTAGCATGGATGATCTGTGGTTCCCCATAGTAATGTCAAAAGTCAGAAAGAGCTGGGCGCCAGTGGCTAACGCCTATAATCCTAACTACTCAGGAGGCTGAGATCTGAGGATTGCGGTTCAAAGCCAGCCCAGGCAGGAAAGTCCATGAGACTCTTATCTCCAATAAACCACTAGAAAACCGGAAGTGGTGCTGTGGCTCAAGCAGTAAAGTGCTCACCTTGAGCTAAAGAGCGTAAGGACAGTGCCCAAGCCCAGAGTTCAAGCCCTACAACTGACAAAAAAAAAAAAAGTCAGAAAGACAAAGTGTGCAGAGTCATTGTGGGAATGTCACATTTATACATGAAAAGTGGTGTGACACTGGTGATTTTACTAAAAAGTGTGAGCTCCAGAATTCTTCACTGAAGGTTTCCACAAGTAAATATTTTCACTTCTATTTTGGCAGTTTGAAACATACATGGGTCTTAAATCAATTAGAAAATGTCATACTTAAGCAACTTACAGCAAAACCTGTGTGTGCATGTGTGTACATGTGTGCACCCCCACGCACAATGATCCTGGGGTTTGAACTTAGATGCTGGATGTTATTCCCTGAGCTTTTTCCCTTTTTTGGGGGGTGGTGGGGGTGTTTATTGGAGACAAGAGTCTCACAGACTTCCCTGCCCAGGCTGGCTTCGAACCACACTCCTCAGATCTCAGCCTCCCCAGTAGCTAAGATAGGCTACTGACATCAAACATCATTTTAAATTAAAGCTGGGGCTGGGAAGGTGGCTCAGTGGTAGAGTGCTTGCCTCCCATGCATGAGGCCCTGGGTTCGATTCCTCAGCACCACATAAACAGAAAAAGCCAGAAGTGGCACTGTGGCTCAAGTGGTAGAGCACTAGCCTTGAGCTGAAGAGCTGAGGGACAGCGCCCAGGCCCAGAGTTCAGGCCCCACAACCAAATAATAATAATAACAAAGCTAATGGCTTCACCAGGACTAGAGCCTTACCCAGGCACCAGAGGGCCCACCAGAGAAAGCATCCATCATCAGTTGGAGGGGAGGGGGGAGCATTCATGTTCTACACCAAGTAGCACAAAATGACAGCCCGCATCCCTTACCCGGCAGGACAGCGGCCATGGCAGGGCGAACGTCAACGAATGCAGCCAGTGTTTTAAGGTGTTCAGCACCAAGTCCAACCTGACCCAGCACCAGCGGACCCACACGGGCGAGAAGCCGTACGGCTGCACCGAGTGCGGCAAGGCCTTCAGCAGCCGCTCGTACCTGACCATCCACCGGCGGATCCACAACGGGGAGAAGCCGTTCGCCTGCCGCCACTGCGGCAAGGCCTTCAGCGACCCGTCGTCGCTGCGGCTGCACGTGCGCATCCACACCGGGGAGAAGCCCTACGCCTGCGGCCAGTGCTCCCACGTCTTCCGCACCAGCTGCAACCTCAAGAGCCACACGCGCACGCACGGCGGGGAGAGCCACCACGAGTGCCGCCAGTGCGGCAAGGCCTTCAGCACGCGGTCCTCGCTGACCGGCCACCGCAGCGTGCACACCGGCGAGAAGCCCTTCGCCTGCGGCCTCTGCGGCAAAACCTTCCGCAAGAGCTCGTACCTGACGCAGCACGCGCGCACGCACACTGGGGAGAAGCCCTACGCATGCGCGCACTGCGGCAAGGCCTTCAGCAGCAGTTTCTCACTGACGGTGCACAAGCGCACGCACACCGGGGAGAAGCCCTACGCATGCGCCGACTGCGGCAAGGCCTTCAACAACCTCTCGGCGGTCAAGAAGCACGTGCGCACGCACACTGGGGAAAAGCCCTACGCATGCGCACACTGCGGCAAGGCCTTCACCAGCAACTCCTACCTCTCCGTGCACCAGCGGCTGCATAGCCAGTGGACCTGACCCGTCCTCCCCCCACCCCCACGCAAACACGTACGGGCTCGCGCTGAGCGCGGGCACTCAGGGAGGCGTCAGCCAAAGCTCCAGGTCTCCCGGGAGGCGGCCATGGCAGGGAGGCCACTGAGGAAGCTGCCGCCGCCTCCTTCATGAGAAGGCAGTTCATAGCGCTGTCCCCCAAGCCCAGTCTTGACGTAGCCGGAGGCCACCCACAGGACGAAAGCTTCCGGGAAACACAGCGTCAACGTGATGACATCAAGCCCCCAGCCGCCCGCATCCGGGAAACATGCCGTGACCATGATGGCGTCAAGCCCTCAGCCGGCTTCCTCCTTTGAACCCATAGAAGTGCCCTGCATTCGCTCTGAGGGACCTTGCGTCATCTCTATATACAGAGCTTCATCTCGAGGTCACCCTGATGGGCCCAGACGACGCGGCATAGGAGCCCTGGGACCCAGAGGACATCAGGAGAGCCTTCCGGGCCGGGGCCCGACGGCGGCCCACCCCCAGCGGGGGCTGGGGACGCAGGCGACCCCCACAGACCCCACAGCACGCCCAGCCTTCCGGGGTGCACCGTGAGACTACAGGGACTACAGGAAGGCTTCGCGTGTCCCCCCGCTTGCAGAGACCCCCGAGCATCCATTCTAGAGGGAAATCCCAAAGCCTTCGGTTGTCACCATCGGGGAAACTTGGGAAGGTGAAACAAGGAAAGGCTTCCGCGATGCCCTTTAACATTGGGGAAAGTAGGAACGTTTTCCTGGAGGCCAAACCCCCAAGTGTGCTAATGGGGGGCGTTTTCCTGCATGAGTTTGCACACAAGCCAACGGGGGGGGGGGCTTCAGCCTCCCCCTTAAGTAATGGTGGAGTAAGTGGGGGTGGAGCAGTCGTCACCAACTTTGATCCGCAGGTTGAACCGGTAAATCACCAATTTCTAGTCTTTGCTTTTGTAAGAACATTTATGCATTTATGTCCATGTCATCTCCCCAAAGTAAGGCTCCTGTTAACATCCCCACAATTTTTATTATAATTTGCTCTAAAGAGCAGTAACATGGTCATCAGAGTTCATTAAAAACAAATGCAGCCTGGTAACACAAGCCTATAATCCCAGCACTTAGGAGGCCCAGGCAGGAAGATGGAGAGCTTGAGGCCGGCCTGCACTGTTACAGAGCAAGACCTTGTCTCAGGAAGCCAAATTAATGCTAACAACATGCTCTTTAAGCTATCAAAAAACTCTATATTCCAAAAGGATTTCTGAACCACTCCTGAGTGCCCTAGTTCATCCTGATGGATGAACTAGCACATACTGGCTGTTCCACACCTGGGAATGATGGACTGGGTGGGTGTGGGTAAGCATATGAGCTAGTGATCTCTCCAGTACTTTCTCTGAAACTGTGACTTGAGGCCTGGGCTATGAAGGGATGGATGGGTGTGTGTGTGTGTGTGTGTATGTGTGTGTGTGTTCACACACGCATGCTCCTTTGTGTCATTACTAAGTCTTGAACCCAGGGCCTGAGCGCTCTCCACTCAGGCAGGAAAGTCTGTGAGACTGATCTCCAATGAACCACCCAAAAACCAGAAGTGGAGCTGTGGCTCAGAGTGGTAGAGCACTAGCACTGAGTACAAAAGCTTAGGGACAGCACCCAGTTCCTGAGTTCAAGCCTCACAACTGGCAAAACAAGTCCCAGCCTGAACTACGGGCTATTCCCATCAAGCACACTATAATAAAAGGTTGAATCAGGGTTACGGATGAGACTCAGGAATACACTCAGGTAGCTGAGTAGCTGCGAGGGGCTCCATTAAACACCCAAAAGACAAATTGGAGGGGACAACCTCTTAGCACTGCACATGAGAGGAAAGGAATGTAAGCTAGGTGCAGTACCTCATGCCTTTAATCCTAGCTACGCAGAAGGCAGAATAGGAGGATCAAAATTCAAGCCCAGGCAAAAAGTTCATTAGAACCCTCCCCTCCCATCTCAACCAATAAAAAGCTGGGCACGATGTCTCACACATCTGGCACCCCAATTATGCTGAAAGCCTAAACAGGATTGTAGTCCAGGCCGGCCTGGCCATAAATGTGACAGCCTATTCAAAACAACAAAAGAAAAAGGGTAAGGGGCATGGCTCAAGCCACAGAACACCTGCCTAGCAAGCCTAAAACCTAGAGTTCAAACTCCAGTATCTCAAAAAAATAAAAGGCCTGGCACATATTTGGTCTTTCCAAAAAAAAAGTTCAATAAAGAATAGTTGGAGCTGGGTGTGGTGGCTCACCCCTGTGATCCTAGCTACTCAGGAGGCTGAGAGCTGAGGATCAAGGTTCAAAGCCAGCCTGGGCAAGAAAGTCCATGAGACTCTTATCTCCAATTAACCACTCAGAAAACCGGAAGTAGCATTGTGGCTCAAGTGGTAGATAGCCTTGAGCTGAAGAGCTGAGGGACAGCACCCAGGCCCAGAGTTGAAGCCCCACGACCAACAACAACAAAAAGAATAGTTGGGATGTGGTGGGATCAATCAAGGTTAATGGCAGGGCTGGCAGCAAAAGACAGACAGGGTGTGATGGCTCATGCCTGCCATCCTAGCTACTCAGGAGGCTGAAATTTGAAGAGCATAGTTCAAAAGCCAGCTTGGGCAGCAAATCCTGAGAAACTCTTATCTCCAATGAACCACTCTCCCCCCCCCTGCAAAAAAAGCCAGAAGTAAAGGTGTGTCTCAAGTGATAGAGCACCAGCCTCGAGTAAAAAAGCTAAGTTAAAAGCCAGGGGCAGTGGTTCACACCTATAATCCTAACTACTCAGGAGGCTGAGATCTGAGGATCTCGGTTCAAAGCCAGCCCAGGCAGGAAAGTCTGTGAGACTCTTATCTGCAATAAACCACTAGAAAACTGGAAGTGGCGCTGTGACTCAAACAATAGAGCACTTGCCTTGAGCTGAAGAGCACAGGGACAGCACCCAAGCCCAGAGTTCAAGCCCCAGTACTGGCACATGTGTGTGCATGGGAAAACACACACACAAACACACATGACAAGTAAAAATGAGACGTTCTTCCACCATGAACCTTGCCCCCTATCCAGCCTTCACGTCAGGTGTCTTCTGAGGGACTGTTTCCGTTTTGATGAAAGTTCCAGCCCACTCATCTCAGTTCTCCCTCCTCTCTGACCCTCTCTGCCTGCCTGGCCAGGCTGTCAGCTTTTAAGGCTTCAGCCAACCTCTTTCTGGCTTGGTTTACTTTCTGCATCTGTCTCCGGACATCTGCAGCAGTCACTTGTTGCTTGAAGAGAGGCAGCCGCTGAGGGCCTCCATCTGGGATCACCGCTCTGTGATAGGAAGGCTGGCTTGAGGAGGGCTCTGGGTGAACAGGCCGATTGGCAGCTCCAGCTTGGCCCCATGATTTATCATCCTGGCTTCCCCAAGACATGATTAATGAGGGATTCACAAAATTAAATGGAGGTAAACGCTGTCCTTCGCTGTCGTAAACCTGCAGGCCCTGAAGTCTCCTGAACCCGCTCAGTTGTTGTGGCTTCACTAGCTTCCCCAGCACCTCCTCCTCTTCCTGTCTGTATCTGACCTTGCTGTCAGGATGGGATGTGATTTTGGTCACAGATCTCTTGAAGACACAACTGGTCATCCTCACAGGTAGGATGGAGGACACCTTGGCTCTCTGCTGGCCCCTGGGGACACGCACGGCCTTCTTCCTCTGCAGAGTCTTAGGTAGGATACTCCTTTTCATGTTCCCCTTTAGCAAACAAAAATAGGGGGAAAACAAAGGGAGGAGGAAAATGAGTGAGATGGAGGAAGGAGATTCTCAGTAGCCATGGAAACGTTTCCGGTTATCTCAAACCACTGTCCTCTCTCAGTTACCTGGAAAGCTGGTTTACAATTCGGGTTTGTGGAACCCAAGTAAGTTGGGGGTAGGCATCCCAAAACTTACCACTTCCTAGTTGCCAGCTGTGGCTGCTACTGCAGCCTTTCCTCCTCCTCCCCTCAGCTGTCCTGGATATCCAATGCATCAAGGTCAAGTGCAAACAATTGTCTACATTTCCAGGAGGAAGTTACTCCCTCCTCTCTTCCCTGTTTGAACATGTAATGATAGCACAATTCCCCCACCTCCACTCCCACCCCCCACTTACTGAGACCCAGAGATCACAGGCTTCCTATGGAGGGATCGATGCCCAATACCTACATTCCTATGCAACACAAGCTGGGAACCAGTAGTTCATGCTTGTAATCCTAGCTACTCAGGAGGCTGAGATCTGAGGAACACAGTTCAAAGCCAGCCCAGACAGGAAAGCCTATGAGACTCTTATCTCCAATGAACCAGTAAAAAACTTGAAGTGGAGCTATGGCTCAAGTACTAGAGCACCAGCCTTAAGAGGATAAAGTGCAGGACAGTGCGTAGGTCCTAAGATCAAGCCCCAGTGCTGGCACAAAAATTAAAGATAAAAATGGTATGCAACTCACTGAGTTCTTGTTTGCATGGATAAAAGGCATCAAACCACAGATTCCCTGAACTCTAAGTCTTGCTTGCAATGTAAATAAAGAAACCAGAACTCAACTACAGTATCATTAAAGAACTAAAGATAACCCTGGTGCTGGTGACTTATGGCCTATAATCCCAGCTACTAAGGAAGCTAAGATCTGAGGATTGCAGTTCAAAGCCAGCCTGGGGAGGAAAAGTCTGTGAGACTCATTTCCAATAACTACCAAAAAGCCAGAAGTGGAGCAACGGCTTAAGTACTAGAGACTTGCCTTGAGTGAATAAAGCTTAGGGACAGTGCCCAGGCCCTGAGTTCAAGCCCCAGAAATTAATTAATTAAAGATCCAAGGATAATCTGGTCCCAAAACCACAGAGATTACATGATTTCAGAGATTATACATTCCAAATACTTAAGCAAAACCAAACCAAAAAAATTACTGAGTGATGACAGCATGTAAGATAGATTTTTGTAAGTACAATTTCTAAATGCTATCTCTTCCAGCACCAGATTCAGGTACCCAGTAGAGCTAATTTAAGTAAGTTACCTCTTCATCTGGAGATGGCAATAACCTGATTAAGATTTTTTTTCTTCCTTCAAAAAGTTCTCTGGAAAAAAAATTTTTGTGCTAGTCCTGGGGCTTCAACTCAAGGCCTGGACACTGTCCCAGAGCTTCTGTGCTCAAGGCTGGCACGCTACCATGTTGAGCCACAGCTCCATTTCCAGCTTTTGGGTGGTTCACTGGAGATGAGTCTTGTGGACTTCCCTGCCGAGGGTGGCTTTGAACCTCAATCCTCAGCTCTCAGCCTCCTGAGTAGCTAAGATTACAGACGTTTGAGCCACCAGTGCCTAGCTTCTCTTGTGATTTTTATGAATAAACAGCTTCCTGATAAATCAGATGGAGAAAATGGGAAGGCTTACTCTTACTCTTTTCCTAGATGTAACTAGAACTTGCTTCTAATTTAAAGGGCTTGAACCACAAAATGCACCAGGTGAAGCTAATCTTCTTCCCTGTGAGGATGACCTTCCAGGGAGCTCCAAGTCACCCTGCAGCCCCTCTCTCAGTGTCTCACTCAGCACAAAGCCTGGGGTGACTCCATCTTGAATCTTAGTCAAGCAAGTTAGTCATCACCCAGAAACCAGCGTTTCATGGAGTACCGCCTTCTTTCAAAAACATCTGACACTAATTCACAGAAGACAAAAAATAAAGAGATGGAAAATGAGATTAAAGGTCCTTGTCATCTCTAGGGAGCGTGTACTCACTAGCAAATGTTGGCCAGAAAGAGAGTTTTCTGCTGGGTCCGCCATGGCCACTGAATTGATCCTTTGGACTCCACTCTTGAGAGGACCGTGGGCTGCTGGAAAGCCACAGACACCTCTTTATCAGCTTCTCCTTTTATATAGGAAGAGGGTAACTCAAATCTCTCTGACAAGCCAATCCCAGCAGAATTTGGCCAGTGGATAAACCCATTAGCAAAGGCCACCCTGACTGGATAAAACCATCAGCGGATAATCTGCAAAAGACAGGCTATCTCAGATCCTTGAATTTTTGAGGCCTTAAATCTCCAAAAGCCAGGCACTGGTGGCGCACGCCTATAATCCTAGCTACACAGGAGGCTGAGATCAGAGGATTGAGGTTTGAAGCCAGCCTGGGCAGAAAAGTCCCCGGGAGACTCTTATCTCCAATAAACTACTCAAAATAGCCGTAGTGGTGCTGTGGCTCGGTAGAGACTCAGCCTTGAGCACAAAAAGGCTCAGGGACAGTGCCCAGGCTCTGAGTTCAAGCACCAGAACCAATTAAAAAAAAACTTTATACAGAAACAACAACAAATACCTGTCAGATACTATTGCTAAATAAACATTGTTAATGCACTTGTGTAGAAAGAAGGTAGTGTTACAGTTAGTATCCATATTTTATTTTATTGGCACTTTTAAATTGTTGTGCAAGTACTGGGGCTTCAACTCTGGTCCTGGACACTGTCCTTGAGCTTTTTCCAATCAAAGCTGGCATTTTACCACTTCTGGCTTTTTTGTGGTTAATTTGGAGATAAAGTCTCATGGACTTTCCTGCCCATGCTGACTTTGAACAATGATTCTCTGATCTCAGACTCCTGAGTAGCTAGGATTACAGGTGTGAGCCACTGGCAACATCTTGTTAGGTTATTTAATTAGAAAAAAAATAAAAGGGCTGGGAGCTGGGTGCTGGTGGCTCATGCCTGTAATCCTAGCTACTCAGAAGGCTGAGATTTGAAGATTGAGATTCAAAGCTAGACCAGGTAGGAAAGTCCATGAGACTCTACCTCCAGTGAACAAGAAAACCAGAAAAGTGGAGCTCAAAGTAGTAAAGTACTAGCCTTGAGCAAAAGTATTTAGGAACAGCACCCAGGCCCCAAGTTCAACAAAAAAGGAGGAGGAGGAAGAGGAGGAGGAGGGAAGGGAGGGGGAGGAGAAAGGGGAAGGGGAGGAAGAGGAGAAGAGGAAAAAACAAAGATATGGGGTATAGCTTAGTGATAGAATATTTGCCTAGCATGCATGAAGCTCTAAGGTTGATCCCTGGGACTGGAAGAAGAGAGAGAAAGACAGAGACAGAGACAGAGAGAACAGGAAAATGAAATAGAGACAGAGGGAGACAGATGGAAAGAAAGAAATGAAACCATATTCCAAATCACTATCAAGGTTAGTAATGAGGACCCTCCAGGACCAGCACCTCCTTTTATTGTTGTTGGTGGTGGTGGTCATAGGGCCTGAACTCTGGGCCTGGACACTACCCTTCAGCTCTTCAGCTCAAAGCTAGTGCTCTACCACTTGAGCCACAGCGCCACTTCTGGTTTTTTTGCTTCTGTGGTGCTGAGGAATCGAACCCAAGGCCTCATACATGCAAGGCAAGCACTCTAACATTGAGCCACCTTCCCAGCCCCCAGCACCTCCTTTTTTATTTTTGTCAGTCTTGGGGCTTGAACTCTGGTCCTGGGTGCTATCCCTGAGCTCTTCAGCTCAAGGCTAGCACTCTACCACTTAAGCCACAGCACCATTTCTGGTTTTCTGGTGGTTCATTGGAGATAAGAGTCTCATAGATTTTCCTGCCTGGACTGGTTTTGAACCACAATCCTGGGATCTCAGCCTCCTGAGTAGCTAGGATTACAAGAGTGAGCCACCAGCACCTGGCTTGCACTTTCTTTTAGTGTTTATTTTTCCTTTCTAAGATGTTGTGGGCTTGGGGGTACATGACCATTTAACTGGCAGCTATTTGACCTTTCATAGGACCTAGATAGTTTAAGTACAGGAGTCTTAGCCTACCATACAGACCGCCTGTGAGACAGCCTAGCTGATTTGAACATGGCATCCACTCATTTCCAAAGCTCAGCTCTGGTCTCACCCATTACAGTTTCAAAATAGCTCATGCTGCACTTTTTTGCTAGTGAAACTATAGATAACCCACTTCACTACGTCTGGAGGTAAAAGCTTGTCCTGATGGTCTAGTAAAACCTTAAAATCTTCATTTGCCTGAGGGATTATGCTGTGATTGGTTTAAATAATCATCATTTGCATACTTGATTGGGCCGTGACACGCACAAACACATACCTTCATTTGTATAATGTGATTGGTTGAAACACAGTCTTTGATTTACATAAGGGATTGATTGTGCCTTGATGGGTGCAAACACAGCCCTGTATTTGCATAAGAGACTACTCTCTGATTGGTGTAAATGGCCCTTCATTTACATGGTGATTGGTTCAAACACAGTTCTTCATTTGCATTAAAGTCTGCAATGGTTGTAATGGTAATGCTTGGTTCACACCCCTTTTTCACACCCCTTTTTCTGGCTATATAAGCAAACTTTTCCGTTTTCAAACCAATTGGTTTCTGCCTGTTCTTGTGTTGTGTGTGTGTGTGTATGTGTGTGTGTGTGTGTGTGTATGCGTATGCATACATGCATACAGAAATGTCTTAAGGGCTGGGAAGGTGGCTCAGTGGTAGAGAGCTTGCCTTGCATGCATGAGGCCCTGGGTTCCATTCCTCTACCACTTGAGCCACAACACGACTTCCTGCAATGCCATTTTATATAAGAGACTTGGACATTTGTAGCTTACAGATAAGGACATTCCATTCCCTTCCTGAAGTCTCATCTTCCAACTGGTGCTTACGTACTCAGATGAGAATGAAACTTCTCTTCTTGCTTGTGTGAGCTTGGTTGTCTTGTATAGGATTAACAGCAAAGCACTACAGATAGTTCCTCCTGAGATAACCCCCAAG